ATGTGACACCTCCAGGCTCCCCGAGCTCCCAAATTATCACACCTAATGGGGTGGTATAAAGAAAATTCGCGACTCCAAAACAACAAACGTTCAGGCATTTGCCATGTTGATGCAAAAACACGCCTCTTAAAGCCATGTCTACTTAGTCATGTGACACGTGAAAAGTATTATTTGAAAGATTTTATGGCCTAGTAAAGCTAACGCACCTCTTGCTGCGAGTCAATGCAACTAGTTTAAAAGACAATCCTTGACTTGCATCACTTGGCCTTATAGAACATTGACGATCATTTATCACATACAATATAAATCATTCTAAGGGGAAGGTAATGACGTAATTATCTTAGCCTAGCGAAATTTGGTTTACTGAGCCGTGGCCAGAGTTGGTTAGCAACACTCGAGTTCTGCTTCGAAGTGTGTGCTTTGCTAAATACTTTCCCGATGTGATACTTATGGTGGAACCTACAATAGGTACCGCTCTATTTGACCTTTTCTTCAGATAGCATACTAATAAACGCGATTCAAACTGACTAATGGCAAATGACACATAGTAGGCATAACGATGTAGTCAAATGTGAGCAAAGATACACATCCACCTGATTTGTACCTAGATGACAAGCAAACAGTCTCTGCATCACCTTACGCGTTAGGCACCAGAAGTGGTACACCTTAACCAACCTGTCATTGGTCAGACTGGAATGAATGGTGACATTTGCAGCTTGCTTCCACTAGTTAGGGAATCACGCCCATCGTATAGGAACGTCCTCAAGGGAGATTGTTTTCTGCACTAATAGACAATCACTGCGTGCTTTATAATGCAGCGACTCTTCCCTTGAAGTCCATTATAAAATTCTGTATCACCAACGTCCAAACTGGGCACCAAAGAGGCGGTGTCAATCTACTTACTGACACTTAACTAGACCCATAATGGCTCAGAATACTAAAACGCCTGTATCATTAATCCGTGCCTAAATGTGTTTTTACGACTGTCAGAGTCACAGCTAAAACTTGCATCATCTATATTTAACATTTGACTTTGTTCTAGTGCGCAAGTCAGAGTGTTGCTTATGTAAAATCGTCCTCAAATTAAAATCGTGTATGAATGTTCTAAAGTATTCAATTTTGTGGGTCCACATTGCTCACTTGGTCATCATCCTCTCCACTGAGTCAGTCCATGTCTTATGCTGGTAACGTGGCGTTGGCTTTCACATTCCCTCTTGTGGTCGCAATGCAGCATCGAATCAGTTGTACTTGCCTACTCACAATCTGGGTATACAGCAGGAAAAGTGGAGTCTGTGGTGTCGTTCTGTCCAGTTACACCCTGAGTCGAGAAATAACAACGAACGTCGTTATCCTTGTTGCCTGAACATAAGTCCTTTCGACTGCTATCTGGACACCTTTAAAAGGTTAGAATGTAAATTATCATACATTTAGGAGCTCAGACGAAATGTCAGGCCCTATTAACAATGACTATGAAAGTGGTTGCTTGTTATCAACCTGTGAAAGACATTACAGGTGCCCCAAACGTCATAAGTATGATCTGATGAAGAGGCTGTGGATAAATCTCACCGATGTGACGATTTTCTGCATCCAAGGTTCCTGAAGTTTTTGGCTGTAGCAATCATGAAATTGAGCATTATGTCCAATCCAAGTAGCTTTTGAGTGTACAATTTTGGTATGATTACACCCTGTGTAAAGTATCAGTGTTTTATCTCAATTCAGTTTGTGAGCTCGGTGGATGACTGTGTAGTTTATTGGGCGCTTTTGTAGGCGCAGGTACAAGATGGATGGACGGCTAAACTCTGGGGTAAACGCAGGCATCTAGAATGGGTAGAAATATGTATTGAGAATGAGTGCCTCGATAGAAAGAAAGCATTTAAGACAGATTGGTTATTCTGTTTGATAAGTGCTCAAAGTTGTGAATGGACAAAGAGAATAGCACTTTATAAATAGATACATAAATGGTTGGTTAAGTAGATGTTTGAATGGATGAGTGAATTATTGGGAGGCTTGGCGGTTCAAGATGGGTTACTGGGCGGTAGGGAAAAATAATTACGCAGCAATGATGACCAACTGGCAGACGTTCCGAGAGTGTTCAATCTTCCTTTCCTGTAGTAAAGTGCAGACGTCTTCTTCTATGCCGAGAACGACATGGTGACTGACTTACTGTTAGCGCTGCATCTTCCTCACTTTGGAATTGACATGCATAGTCTGTTTGCTACGGATAGCATGATTGTGGAGCTGGAATA